AACCAGTTAAAATCTGGTATGACATTTTTTGTTTGTCAGCACCAAAACAAATTGGTGAACCTCTAGGGACAAATTCAAGGAAAAGAAAACACTACAAAATATGTTGCCAAACTCTCCAGAAAAAGACACTAATGCTAAATAAAAAATATTATTTAATAAAGTAGTAATCTCAAAAGTGTGTGTGTGTGTGTGGGGGGGGTATTGTGGAGTAAAGAGTACATCCCCAGTGAGTATGAACTCCTCCAATACTATAAAGAGTTCCATAGTATGAGGTCAGTTTGGATTGGAGTCAGCCTTCATACAAGCATTATAGCAATAGCCTAAGTATTATATATACTTTAATAACTTACGTTATGTCAAGTACGAGTGTGTGTTATAACAATAATGTTAAAATAAGAAGTTATAATAAAAAAATAAAAATAGTTGAGAGAGTATATTGGTATCAATAAAAAAAGAAATTTTTGGCAGGTCTGAAGGTTAAACTTTACCAAAAATTAATATTTCTATGCCAAATACTTATGGTTTTTGGTAGTGAAAAATGCTAATGTTATAAAATAAAATAAGACATATCTCGGCTGATATACAGGCAAATAAACTAACATACTCAAGAGCGAGAGGATGTGAACCCGGACAAGGCCCCGTACAAAATGACCATTCGACATACGAGTTCCGAAAAAAATAAAATAATATTTTAAAGTGTTTCTATTTTTCGACCAATAAAAATGCTTCCCTCCTAATTATACTTGCGTCGTTTTTTGAGCCCGTTAAGCCATAAAAAACACCATAAAAGGGGTCACACGGAAGTACAAGGGGCAGCCAACAGAAGGCCAGGAAGAGATCTGTCATAGTCAGGCTGAGCGGTCAGCAGCAGTCAGCAGGGGGAGCGCCAGCACCAACCAATGTGAACTACTATGAGAGATCAACCCAGATTCGAAGGTAGCTATCCCAAACCAACATGTTCCTGTTGAAATAAATCACGTAAATCTATTTCTGCTGTTGTATTACTTTATTGCAACCATACACTTGTCTATAGCACTAGCATACTGTTGTAGCATGCCTATGAATGATAATGGGTATGTCCCCATTCACATAATTACAGTAGTAAATACTGTATGTTGGTCTGCAGTTGGAGATTCATTGTAGAATTTACTTGACTCACTTCTAGCAGTTGACTACTACTTCTATGAGCTGCTGGCAAATCCTATATGTGTTCTTGTCCTAATTGTTTATTACTAACCTTCGTGTGATTATTCTATTTGGTAACCATCCCTAGGTTACAACACATACTTTCAACAAAAAATTACCTTGAATTTTTTTTTTTTTTTTAATTGTGCAGATCACCTTATGATGAGCCATATCTCATGGCCCACTGGTCAGAAAAGTTGCCTTTTTTTTTTTTTTTTCTTCTTTTTAAGAAGCATATCAACTGCTATAGCTTATTCAATGTTGAAATCTCAATATTTTGCATGCAATTTTATTTCATTTTTGGAGACAATAATGGTTTAGTGATACAAATCTTACTAATTAACGCATAGCTGGAGGGAGAATAAGTGGATTCATACCATTTCCCAATGGTATTTGTGAATAAGTGAATATAATGTACTCAACTAGAATTGGAACTGCTCTTCGATTAACAATTCAGAACTATTATCCATTACACCACCCTTAAATCCAAGTTTACAGTAACTGGTATTCCCAAGTGGTCACCCATCTTGGTACTGACCAGGCCCAATGTTGCTCAACTTTGGTAATTGTATAGGAACCAATGTTTCAATATGATGTGGCTGTAAGCCTGGTTGGAAAAGGTTGCCTAAACTGGTTTTAAAAGCTGTCTTGCAATGACAGTTTTCTTCATTTTGAATTCTAATTCAATTTCTTGTCAAAAAATGACTTTTTTTTTTTTTTATTTAGTCAGACCTAAAGAGGTCTAGAGTGTTTAAATTCATTGATAATAAAGAGAAGGAATTAGTGGAGAGCCATAACTATATACTATATTTTCTAGTGTATAATATAACTTGAACACAATATTCTGTGTTTCTGAAGCTAACAACAGGGAATAAATTACATCCTTGACTATAATATGACCCAGTAGTACGGCCATCCCTAGGTTTTTTTTTTTTTTTTAAGTTGAACTGGATTATCCATTAAAATCTCATATTTCATTAAAATATTTAATTTTTCACAATATTAAAGAATTGAAATGAACCAGATTTTTACCTATTGTGTGTTTCTAATTTCCATTTCAAAACTTATTTTCAAATTTTTGGGGAAGTCACTAATTAGACATACCCGGTAATATATTTTAAGGTATTAATTTATCTATCATACTTTTGTTTTTATACATATTTCTATATATTAATAAACTATGAGAATAAAAAAAAAATATTGTTTTTTTATTAAGTAAATAATCAGGAAAAAAAAAATCAAAATACAAATAAACTATCTTTTAAGCAAAATTAAGTGGATTTGCAATGTTGCTATTTCAAATAAGAGGTTTTTT